ATAAATAAATAAATAAAAATAAGCTGTTACTTTTTTTTAGTCTGCCGTTACATGTGATCTGTGGTTTATTAAGAAATGGGAGGGAGGGGATAACCATAAGGGTGTAGACTTCACTTCCAGAATTTTCCAAGGATTCATTAGGTAGAATTCCAGGAATTTCAGCTCACAGACACACATCTATAGACACCAACATTTTGTTCACTTCAAGAGGGGCCAGTCTCCAAAGCTGCATGTCCTTCTCTGGTCTTGTTAGTGTAAAAAGCCTGCAACTCTGTGTCCTGCAAGTCATTGTCTTGCCACCTGGGAGGCTGTACAGATGCTGCCTAATGATGAACTGCAACCCCCAGGAAGCATTTTAGACAGAAGACTGGAGAAGGCCATGCAGCTTCTGAGGTAGGTGCTTATCCGGGAAAGCAAAATATAAATGGGTTATTGTGAGCTGAAGCTCCAAAAATTCTACCTGGGGAATCCTTAGAGCATTCTGGGAGTTGGAGTCCAAAGAAGAAAAGAGGAACCTCTAGATAGCAACACATGAGAGATGTGTTGAAGTGGTCCAAATGAGAAGATCATTCACATCGTGCCAAATTATTAGATGAAATCCAGTGGTAAGTCACAATAAGAGTAAGCCCACGGAATCAGTAGGACTTATAGAGGACCTGATTCAATGGGCCTACTCTAGTTGTGGCTTACTATTGGATTTCAACCATTGTCTTTTGTTATATTTTATTGAAGCTGTCATTTCAGTCCCAGGGCATTTATTGGATAATAGTGTTTATCTGAAACGAGCAGAATTGGTAGCAGTTCATTTGTAATCCTATTGCTATCTAGAACTCACATCAGCAAAAAAATTCTCAACAAAACTTTTTTTTGAAGTCATGCACAACATTATTGAGTTCTGGGTGGAAATTTCAATACTGACATAATTTCAACATGAATATCAGAAACCAGAGTTATCCAGTGACAGAGGAGTGCAGATTCAGAACAAATAAAAGCAAGTACTGTTTCATGCTGAGCTCAGATAAATTGTGAACTGATGTACTGATGAATGCCAAGTACAGTACCATGGCTGTAAAAGGGGATTAGACAAATTAATGGAGAAAAAGGCTATCAGTGGCTGCTCGTCAGGATGGCTATTTAAAGTATTTAAGATCAGAGGCAGTATACTTCCCAATACTAGTTACTAGAGTACCTAAGCAGGAGCATGTCATTGCAGTCATGTCCCACTTTTAGACTTCTTATAGCCATCTTCTCTGTCATTGTGGAAACACAATATTAGAGTAGACCAGCCTTGCTCTGATTCAGTCTGGTCTTTCTGTTTTCTCACTGAGAGCCTTACAAAAGTATACCTGCTGAAAGAAACCAGAAGCCTTTGTATCTAAGTGGCAGGTTTTATGAAGAAAAAAATTGTGTGGTCCTTGTACACAATCTGAAGGGAAGGGTCAGGATAAATTTGTCAGATCCATAAAAATTGCAAACATAAACTAGCTTTTAAGCCATATGGGTCTTCACAAGACCAAGCTCCACAGAGCTCTGGATGGTGCAGAAGAAACGTAAAAGTTCTGAAAATCACAGCCAGATGTGCCTGTCAGGCTCCTTTGTTATAAATAGTCTTCCTCAACCTGATGAATTCCAGATGTGCTGGAGTACAGTGTCTTTCAACTCAATTTTCACCATGCTGGTTAAGGATGATTGCAATTATTGCCAGACACATCTGGAGGGTACCACATTTGGAAAGTCTGCTGTAAAGAATCCCAAACTATTTTTGAAACAACTTTTATAATAGTGCTTAAAATACTGCAATTTACAGTTAATAATCTTTTCAGTTACAAACTGACTTAATTTTAATGATGGTTTAAATTGAAATGAATTGTGTTGAATTAAGCTTTTAGATGGCATATTTGAGAGCTAACAAGATAGAATAATAATGTGCCATCAAATCTTCCAGGGTATACACTACTCAAGAGTTGTTTACCATTCCGTTCTTCTGGGGACACTGAGGCTATGCTGCTTGCTGAAATCTGTACAGGAAGGTGCCTCTTCTCTCAAGAGGCACAGTGAGGAATTAAACTCCAACCCTCTGACTCCACAGTCAGAGATCTTAGTCACTGAGCTATCCAACCAGCAACAAGGCAGAATACAGATCCAAAAATTACCAAATATATGGTTTAGTGGGTTAATTAACCAGTATGGGTGATTGACTTGAATATGCATTTGCACTTGGTACTTAACTGTTTCCCTGAAAAGAAAGTGTCTTATTCGACTTGTGTGTTCCCACTAAAAAATAGCACTTGACATGCTAACAAACATAATTTAAAACAATAAAACCATTACAATCATTGTGATAAATCAGTTTTAAAAGACATTTAAAAGATGCATTCATGTATTTCCTGAAGGTAGCAAGAATGTAAGAAAGCTGCAAAAACCAAATTTCTTGTATCCTTAGAATAAACCTTATGTGTTCATCCTAAATGATTTTGACTCTTGATCAAGCGAACCTTGTTGTCTGCTGTGGAAGGCTAGGCTCTGTAAGTGCAAGCTGTTCCAAAGCCAAAAATAGCAACATTCTGGCTTCATTTTCCAATGCGCAGTTGCTGCCTTGTAAATTTTTATATATTATTAGACTTCTGTGTTCTCTGTTGTCTTTTGGTTCTGCATTATGCAGGGAACTCCTTGCCTTGCACTGTATTATTTTAGAACCAAGCAGATTGTTATTACTGTTATATTAAAAGCTTGACTTTTCTGGGGGTTTTTTAAAGCTCAAACTGGGATAAAGGGAACAAGACAGCTTCTAAAGTTGCTATTAAAACATCTTCTATTCAAAGTAGTTTGTCTTTTACCTTTGATTTTCATTTTTGTCTGATCTTTTTTCTGGGTCAAATAGGACTTGGAAATTGGAAAAAAAATTAAGGTGCACATGCCTTCATATGAGCCTTTAAATCGAGAAATGTCAATCTTTTGTTAAAGATGGATTTTTTATTGTCCACATAGAGCAAACTGGTGGCACCAATATTGTTTCCTATTGGGACCTTTTAATATTCCCCACAAGAGGTCCACATGCTATTCAGTATTGTGTTGTAGACTGCAAACTTGGGTGGTATCCATATGAGCAAGATTTTAAAACTGGAAATAATCTACGGTTTATATGAAGAAGTTATGAAATTTCAAAAGAACATAGGCCGGAATCCTCTTGCCTTATGCGATCATGTAAAGGGAGTCACATAACTGATCTGACTTGCACTGTCCATCAGATACTCAGTCTTCCCCGACTGGATAATTGATAGTCACCTGGTTGAACACTGGAATATACAGCAGGCACCCAGGAAACAGAAAAGCTGTGTTCCTATGATCTCTGGAAAACAGAAGCAAACTTTGGATTCAGTTTACATAAATAGTTTTACTTTATTTCTTATTTGTTTGTCTTTTTTTATTTGTTCATGCAGTGATTATATTTAATTGTCTAATCACTATATTCATCTCAGAAATATGTGTTGGTGTAAGCAGAACAGAAGCAAGCAGGTCTGTGTGGTGGGGGCTCCTTCACTGTGTTGCATCTGTACTCCAAATGGCCTAGACTGAAACCCACTATTCGTTTCAGACTTGATAACAGTCATTGTCATATAGTTGATAACAGTCATTATCGTATAGTTGGACTAGGACTCAAGAATCCTGGGTTCAAATTACTGGTCAGCCACAGAAACGTGATGAGGATGGAAATGGTAAACCATTCCTTAAACATCTCAGGTACCTCAAAAAGTCTATTTGGGATGTCATAAGTCAGAATTGCCATAAATCAGAATTGACTTGATTTTACACAGCAACAGCGACAAGCAACTATTTACAGTGGACCCTCGACTTACAGACGGCTCGACTTACAGACTTTTCGAGTTACAGACGTCTCTGGCTGCAAAATTTAGATTCAACTTGCAGCCAGAGAATCGACTTACAGACCAGAAAAAAACCAAAATGGAATAAAAATAGAATAAAAACCACTGGTTATGGGATTAATCGGTTTTCAGTGCATTGTAGGTCAATGGAGATTCGACTTACAGACTTTTCGACTTGCAGCCACCATTCCAATACGGATTAATTCCTTAAGTAGAGGGTCCACTGTACCTGAACTTTCAGTTCTCTCATTCTCCATTTTAGGTTAAATGCTACAAAAATTGATAGACTGCCCTGAGCAATTTATAGATGGCTTCACTGAGGAAATGTTAAAGATAGTATTGTCAGCTAAATCAAATGTCAGCTTTCAGAGAAATGGTACTGAGTTTCCTCTTTTTTTGTTAGGCTTGAGTTCAAGTGCTAACTTTTTTCTTTCCTATATTAAAGTATGATGATTGTTGAACTTTAGAGATAAGATCATTTAATTTGCAAGTAACTGTGAAAACTACATGATGGTAAAATTAAATGGTGTTTAGTTACAGGCCTTTTGTCTTTAATCAGAATCCTTATCTTCAATTTTGTAGGAAGGATTCCTGTTGGGAGAAGTGAGACAAGAGGAAACATTCAGTATTAGTGACTCTCAAATCAGCAACACTGAATTTCTGCAAGTAATTGGTAGGTGTTATTAAATTTATTTCTGATAGTTCAATTTAATTGTTCATGTAAAACCTCCCACCATTAATTGCATAACAGCTTGGAATGACTGAAAAGTTTAGTAAGTTCCACTCCAGTTTTCCTTCATTGACATGTGCAGCTGAGTCCACCAATGCTCCTTGACCTATCCTGAATTGGGAGGGTGGGGAAGGTGTATAAAGTCCCACATATATATTTTCATTTTGGAAGGCCTTCTTGTTCTTTTTTTAAAGAGAAAGGGTGTCAGTTCATTGCTACAGAAATATGCCATTATATTTAGATGCTAAATTTTCTCTGTTATCATTAGAACATTACAGTACAGTACTTGCATATTTCTATTTTGACCAATGAACTGTGATAATTATTTGTCCAAGATAATTCCATATTATTGCCTTTCAGAAGAATTACTCACTGAAATCCTGTTGTGTTGTTATACAAAAGGTGTAATTTTTGGATACAAATTGTGTCAAGTTAAGAAGTCTCCATAGACATTATATGTTGTATTCCAAAGAGTTCAGCCACTGGTTTTGTTTACTTTTTAGTTCATTTTACTGGGTTATTGTATACCATGAAGATTTTCTTCCTCACTTATATATTTGTTTGTGTATGTGCTGTATATACCGTGTTCCCTCCAAAAATAAGACAGGGTCTTGCATTAATTTTTGCTCCAAAACACATTAGGGCTTATTGTCAGGGGATTTTTTTTTCATGTACAACAATCTTCATTTATTCAAATACTGTACAGTCATGTCATCTTCTGGTTGCTGCACAATGGGCGGGTTTTCACTTAAGTGGGGCTTATGTTGGGGGATAGGGCTTATATTACGAGCATCCTGAAAAATCATATGAGGGCTTATTTTCAGGTTAGGTCTTATTTTCAGGGAAATGGGGTAGATAAGTTTGCCTTTTGCACGATGGTTTGAATGCACTAAGTGACAGATGACAGCTGGTTGAATGTGGAATGTAAGACCATTATGGCAGTTGGAAGGGAAGATAATGCCTCCATAGAACCATATTTCCATGGACTGTTTTCCCCAGCCCAAGGGGGACAGTGAGGGATGTAATATAAATGTGAGTGATTGTTCAGTTAGATAAGGTGATAGATTAAAAATGGGCAGAATTTAATAGAGATGGATGAGTCAGATTGAAAATAGAGATGGACTCACAAGTGTTGTGATAATAAATGAGATGGCTAAAGAAAGAGTTGGGGTTAGATAACTTTGCATGTGGATTGAGAAATTAGAATTGGATTAAGATTAGATAAAAGACCGTATGAAAACCATTTACTTTAATTTCATTGTCATTGCAGTCCTTTACATTTTGGGGGGCAAAATCCTGTTGGCATATTTACACTGATGTAAACTGAATTCAGGCACTGGAAATAGTTAATTTAAATTAACAGAAAGCTTCCAGCTTGATGCTGCGACAAGACAGCAGCAGGAGGATGGAGCTCCGTCTCCTAGGCTGAATTCCAACCTGTTTGGTTTTAACCCATTAAAACCACCCCGAAGAGGTGGTGAAATGGGTGAGAAACCTGTTGATCATGGGGGGGGCATGGTGGTTACCCACGTTTGATCTGGGAAACTCCCCAATCAACCAGCAGGCAGAAACAAGCGGCTTGGACGAGCTTGGTTCCAAGCTGTCAGCAGCCAGCAATGGAGAAGCGATAAATCAGCCTAATTAACATTGTGTTACCACTGGGCGAGAATTTTTTGTAACTGTATTGCTTTACTATCCCTGGACAAGACAATTCCTATGGCAGAAATAGCGCCTTCTGTTCCCCACCACTGACTGAGCAGCGGTGAATCTGGAGAGAGGAGGAGATGAAGGGAGACACTAGGAAAATAACTTGGATATTAATTAGACATTTAACTATATTTCAAGGAAGGAATGGTATTACTTTGTCGTTATAAACTTAAGAATCTTTCTCCTGAAAACATCATTGGCAACAACTCAGGGAAACTAAACTTGCTTATGCTGCTTGTAACAGCTGTCTAAGGTGCTGGCAAAAAGTCTAGAATCAGTGACCTTGAACACTTTATGGCTCTTTGGAATTCCTTTTCTTTTTGAGAACTGAAGTGAACTACAAATAAATTAACCCTAGAAAGGGCTAGAAAATGGGCGAAAATGCCGGCTGGGGCTTTGGGAGGACCCCCCGCCGATCAGCTGGGGGGAAATGGGGCCTTCCAAAGCCCCAGCCGACATTTTCGCCCAGCTGATCGGCGGGC